CAAGTCTTGACCATGACGTCGAATCCCCGGCGATAGATTGCGGCGAAGCTACCGAATCGGTTGCCGATGGTGATGAAACCGTGCATGCGGTGGGCTGTTGCACGTGGAGCGGTTGGTCCAGCAGTGGAACCAAGTGGACAGCATAATCCTCGTAAGTATACCGAGGACTTGCGACATTCGCATCCTCCCCAGATGTGCAGGAGGCCGCTAGCAAGGCGGCCGAATCTGGCGGAGTAGAAGGTGGAGTCGCCTCACCTTCCGCGGAGCTCAGTTTCCCGAGCTGAGGCGGGGTCGCACATCCTCCTTGGCCTGATCTTGGCACAGGGAGGTCTTGTGCTTGGTGCTGTTGCACCAATAGCAGCTGCCGTAGCGGCCGCGGACCTTTTACTCCGCCTCGGTCAAGCCAAACTTGACCCATGGAAATTGTCTTGGTTGTCCATTTCCGGACTGCGATGCAGATTTCGCCTTCCCATTGTTGCGGGACTTGTTGTTGCTTCGCGGCTGGACAGCAGCCACCTGATCTCCGTCACTTGATGCTGGAGTGGCTGCTGGGTTATCTCCACTGTCCTGCTGGACTGCAGCGAAGTGTTGCTGTCGCGGACCAGTTCGTGCCTTCTCCACACAGGTCGGCTGCCATGTTGATCTCTCGTGTGCAGCTGACCTGTTGGTCTTGATGATCTCTCTCGCCTTGTCGATAATCTCGGCGAAAGTGGAGTACTGCTCGCGATCACCAAGAGCCTGGCTCAATGCAGCGCAGGATCTGTTGTAGAACTCACGTCTGGCACTTCCGCAATCTTCTGCCACTCCGTGAGCCAGTCACGTGTTGCAGTGTTGCCCTGTGACATGGTGAACAAATGGTTGATGGTGAGTGTCGGCGCGTCGTCGACGATGAACCGCTTCTTCCACAGCCGTGTCAGTTCCTCCCATGTGATTTGGTCCTTCAAGTCTGGTATGTCGACGCCGTGGGAGGTTGCCAGGTGGCTCAACCAGGTCTGGCATCCGCCCTTTGAGTTCAGGAACAGGGCGCCGATGTATGCATGCTTGGCTATGGGCAGAATCCTGAGTTGCGTTGTAAAGGCTTCCCACCAGAGGACCGGATCCTGCTGCGTGTAGTCGTCGAACCTCTCCAGATTGAAAGTTGGCATCTTATACATCTTCGGATTGCCATCCGTGTTCGTCGTCTGCAGCTGCTGGACCTCGGTCTTCAATGCATGCAGCTGACTGCTGATGGTGGTGGTCGGCGCAGCGAAGGTGCTGATGTCGCCAAGCATTGCCACTACGTGGTCAACGCGGTCCTCCAGTTGGCGGCTAGAGGGTGCACTGCTGGAAGCCCCAGCAGTTGGTCCTGGTACAGCCTGTTCCAGGTCCAACAATCGGGCATTGAGTGCCCGAGTTGCATCCTCGTGGCTCTGCACTATGCGGCGGAGCTGTGCCAACTCCTGATGCTGTTGCGTCAGGTCCTGGTACTGTCTCTCCAACTCTGACCGTTGGTAGTTGCAAGCATACAACAACCGCGTCACGAGTTTGGAGAGGAACTCCTTGTGTGTCACGCACGTGCGGAGGGCACGTGCGGGGATAGAGGGAGAGAGAGAATGTGTGACGGTGTAAGTGATGACGCCACTTCTTAACAGCGTAAACCAGCGCGAGGACCTCACGCTCGTCAGCAGTGTAGTTACGCTCAGCAGGAAGTAGCTGTCGAGATAGATAAGCAACTGGGCACTCTCCATTGCGCGACTCCACTGTGCCGTCATCAGCGATGTCAGGGGTGTAGGGAGGTGGAGCCCCTGAGGGGGTGGGCTCGATAGGTGCAAGTCGAGCCGCAGTCGCTGGGGGTGGGGGGGGAAAGCGAGGAATGCGAGGGAGACGAGACTCTGTGGGGTGGGGAGAAGTAGAAGGGGCTGGGTAAATCTGGGAGAGGACAGCTCCTATGGCAAAGTCGGACGCGTCGGTGGTGACGATGAATGGGCGGGAGTAGTCGGGTAGGTGTAGGACAGGGGCTGACGTGACAAGTCGCTTCAGAGAGCGAAAGGCATCCTCATGAGCCGGGGTCCAATGGAAGGGTAGACGTCCGCGGGTCAGAGGAGTCAGCTGTGAAGAGTACTGCGCATAGTTTTTAAGAAAATGACCATAGTAGTTGGTCAACCCCAAGAAACTACGTAGCGCAGGAAGAGAAGTAGGTGTAGGCCAATCGACGATAGCCTGGATCTTCGAGTCGTCCATGTGGAGTCCATGCTCGGAGACCTGATGTCCTAGAAAGTCGACCTTGGATTGAGCGAAGGCGCATTTGGAGAGCTTCTCATAGAATCTGTGGTCGCGTAATCGCTGGAGGACAGTGCGGAGGTGGGTCATATGCTCCTCTAAGGTACGACTGTAGATCAGGATGTCATCAATGTAGACTAGAACAAAGTCCTTGAGAAGGTCCTGGAACATCGTGTTCATAGCCATCTGGAAGGTGGCAGGACCGTTACGGAGGCCGAATGGCATGACAGTGAACTCGTAGTGTCCAAATCGAGAGCGAAACGCGGTCTTGTG